TGTGGGCTTGCTTTACCTTATAAATCTCAAATAAAATGAAATGAAATGAATAAATAAATTCTAAAAATAAAAATATCTATAACAAAATATCACATTTATTTCAGATGCAAAATTTCATGATATAGTTTTTTTCCTTACACCAAAAGCAATTTTTAAACTTTTTTTAATGAATAAATTTAACACAATTCAGTGATGTTTACACTGTAAGAAATAAATGGAAAAACGGATAAACAGCTGTATTTTTTATTACAGTGTATGCATAAAACAAGAACAGCTATTTGCAAATGAGGACTTCGGACTATATGAGACATTTGGCCTGATCTGCAGAAATCTTTTTAGGCAAAAAAGGACTTTTTCAAATCTAGTCCATAATAAAACAAATGAATGAAAAACACTAAAACAATCACATTTCTGCCCAACACAAAGTCTCAATAGCTTTTGTCCTCATAGAACTCCTTGCTGTCAGTGTGATTGCTGGTCATGTGTTTATAGTTCCTGGCTTGTGTGGGTGTGTCTGTTTAGCCCTGTGTGTCAGATGACAGGAGTCACCAGAGTCCAACTGTACTCATCATACACAGTGCTGGATGACTGGCATTCCGTCAGATTTACTCTCTCTCTCTCTCGCCATTTGGGAATCACATACCCCTCCCTCCAATTTATCAGTGTTTATGTGTGTTTAACCTTGGTTGAAGAGTCCACGGTCGCACCCCTCTCCACAAGTTCCTCCACCAGCTCCACGTGACCCTCTTTGGCTGCTAGATGGAGCGCATTGAGTCCATTCTATGCACAGAGGGAGACGTGATCAATACGTTTTCCTGATTAATACAATCAGTACAGATTTGATATTAGGATACAATACAGAACAAGACAGCAACAAATTTTGCTCATGATAAATAATAGCAATATACAAGTTGCATTAAAAAACAGACTTTTGGAAGGGTCATTTTATAATGCTAGAATAAAAATGTTTCCTATACTAGATCTCTGAGATACATCCTCTGAGTTCATTAATTGGAGAATCGTTACGTATAGCTGAAAAAGATTAACTACAAAAAAATAAAGATTAATTATGGAAATTTCATGTTGAATATATTAGAACATAATATAGTATAACAATTTTATTTTATTTTATTTTATCTCTTGCTTGAAAATCCTATTTGTAAAGAACAATTATCACAGATTTACTATGGCTAAATTTGGCAACAGCCTTTTTTATATTTTAGTGCGATGACCAGAAAAATGTTCATTGTGAATTTTAGTCATTATGAAATATGTGATTTTCATTATATCATGTAAAAAGTCACTTATTAGTAAATCAAGCTTACATGTTTAAAAATGGAATTTTAGTGTTTAATCCATTTTTCTCAAGCTGTAAATAAGCATTCCCTTTATTCAAACATCACCACCTGTCTTAATTTACTAATGCACCTCATTCCGTGCTTGATGGGTAAATCATGACAGCTCTTGTGTAACGCAGTGTGGCTAACAATCAGACTTGTCATTAAAAGCAGAGAGAATTAACGAAATGCTAATCTCATTTATTTGGATAATGAACGCTGGAGGAGTTTTCACATCCGGAGAGAGAGATTCCGGTAAGAGTGGAAAGAAAAAAAAATAGATTAACCATGGGCAGATTATATTGCAATATCACTCAGCGAGGATTAGAAGAGTGGATTTGAGAGAAAACAGCATGGAATGCCCGTCCATTGTTGTACTGATGTGCTCATTACTGGTGACTCCAGATGACATCATAATGGATAATGTCATGGTCAAATCTATTATACATCATAGCAGAGGCAAATTCAGCACATTACATAATAATGGGGTCATAGCAACCCGATGACATTTGTCTCTGATGTCATTTCAGTCCATTTCAACTGAAAATTTGAATAAACTAATTAAATTATATAGGACTATTTTTTATTGTTACTAGTTTGACTAGACCCGTTACATAATTTTTTTTTTGCTATTTCACGTCCAGTTGCGTTTAATGTCAAATACAAAATAAATAAATAAACAGCACAATCACACTTTTCAAGGGAAATGTTTCATAAAAGGTTGTTTATATCATGTATCAGCATATATAATATTTCATTTGGACACATGGCAGTCAGACTTAGTGAAATGTGCCTTATTCTACAATCATAAAAAGTTTTACACCAAAAAATTTTTATTGTAACATTAAGGCACTTAAAACACTGTTTTTCTCTTTTTTTTCCCATGTTGGTTCCATGGCTCAAGAGTATTTGTTTGGCAGTTGGCACACCTTGCTAAAACCAACACTGTGAAGATGATTGGTTGGAGAGATTCCGGTAAGAGTGGAAAGAAAAAAAAATAGATTAACCATGGGCAGATTATATTGCAATATCACTCAGCGAGGATTAGAAGAGTGGATTTGAGAGAAAACAGCATGGAATGCCCGTCCATTGTTGTACTGATGTGCTCATTACTGGTGACTCCAGATGACATCATAATGGATAATGTCATGGTCAAATCTATTATACATCATAGCAGAGGCAAATTCAGCACATTACATAATAATGGGGTCATAGCAACCCGATGACATTTGTCTCTGATGTCATTTCAGTCCATTTCAACTGAAAATTTGAATAAACTAATTAAATTATATAGGACTATCTTTTATTGTTACTAGTTTGACTAGACCCGTCACTTACATTAAAACATTTTTTGCTATTTCACGTCCAGTTGCGTTTAATGTCAAATACAAAATAAATAAATAAACAGCACAATCACACTTTTCAAGGGAAATGTTTCATAAAAGGTTGTTTATATCATGTATCAGCATATATAATATTTCATTTGGACACATGGCAGTCAGACTTAGTGAAATGTGCCTTATTCTACAATCATAAAAAGTTTTACACCAAAAAATTTTTATTGTAACATTAAGGCACTTAAAACACTGTTTTTCTCTTTTTTTTCCCATGTTGGTTCCATGGCTCAAGAGTATTTGTTTGGCAGTTGGCACACCTTGCTAAAACCAACACTGTGAAGATGATTGGTTGGAAATTTTGCAGTTTGTGTCTGTGCCAAACCTCACTGAATGTATTTTGCATGTGGTATTTCCTGTAGATTCATAAAAGGACAATTTAATCATACACTCTCAGAAAAAAAGGTAAAAAGCTGTCATTGGCCTGATCTGCAGAAATCTTTTTAGGCAAAAAAGGACTTTTTCAAATCTAGTCCATAATAAAACAAATGAATGAAAAACACTAAAACAATCACATTTCTGCCCAACACAAAGTCTCAATAGCTTTTGTCCTCATAGAACTCCTTGCTGTCAGTGTGATTGCTGGTCATGTGTTTATAGTTCCTGGCTTGTGTGGGTGTGTCTGTTTAGCCCTGTGTGTCAGATGACAGGAGTCACCAGAGTCCAACTGTACTCATCATACACAGTGCTGGATGACTGGCATTCCGTCAGATTTACTCTCTCTCTCTCTCGCCATTTGGGAATCACATACCCCTCCCTCCAATTTATCAGTGTTTATGTGTGTTTAACCTTGGTTGAAGAGTCCACGGTCGCACCCCTCTCCACAAGTTCCTCCACCAGCTCCACGTGACCCTCTTTGGCTGCTAGATGGAGCGCATTGAGTCCATTCTATGCACAGAGGGAGACGTGATCAATACGTTTTCCTGATTAATACAATCAGTACAGATTTGATATTAGGATACAATACAGAACAAGACAGCAACAAATTTTGCTCATGATAAATAATAGCAATATACAAGTTGCATTAAAAAACAGACTTTTGGAAGGGTCATTTTATAATGCTAGAATAAAAATGTTTCCTATACTAGATCTCTGAGATACATCCTCTGAGTTCATTAATTGGAGAATCGTTACGTATAGCTGAAAAAGATTAACTACAAAAAAATAAAGATTAATTATGGAAATTTCATGTTGAATATATTAGAACATAATATAGTATAACAATTTTATTTTATTTTATTTTATCTCTTGCTTGAAAATCCTATTTGTAAAGAACAATTATCACAGATTTACTATGGCTAAATTTGGCAACAGCCTTTTTTATATTTTAGTGCGATGACCAGAAAAATGTTCATTGTGAATTTTAGTCATTATGAAACATGTGATTTTCATTATATCATGTAAAAAGTCACTTATTAGTAAATCAAGCTTACATGTTTAAAAATGGAATTTTAGTGTTTAATCCATTTTTCTCAAGCTGTAAATAAGCATTCCCTTTATTCAAACATCACCACCTGTCTTAATTTACTAATGCACCTCATTCCGTGCTTGATGGGTAAATCATGACAGCTCTTGTGTAACGCAGTGTGGCTAACAATCAGACTTGTCATTAAAAGCAGAGAGAATTAACGAAACGCTAATCTCATTTATTTGGATAATGAAAGCTGGAGGAGTTTTCACATCCGGAGAGAGAGATTCCGGTAAGAGTGGAAAGAAAAAAAAATAGATTAACCATGGGCAGATTATATTGCAATATCACTCAGCGAGGATTAGAAGAGTGGATTTGAGAGAAAACAGCATGGAATGCCCGTCCATTGTTGTACTGATGTGCTCATTACTGGTGACTCCAGATGACATCATAATGGATAATGTCATGGTCAAATCTATTATACATCATAGCAGAGGCAAATTCAGCACATTACATAATAATGGGGTCATAGCAACCCGATGACATTTGTCTCTGATGTCATTTCAGTCCATTTCAACTGAAAATTTGAATAAACTAATTAAATTATATAGGACTATTTTTTATTGTTACTAGTTTGACTAGACCCGTTACATAATTTTTTTTTTGCTATTTCACGTCCAGTTGCGTTTAATGTCAAATACAAAATAAATAAATAAACAGCACAATCACACTTTTCAAGGGAAATGTTTCATAAAAGGTTGTTTATATCATGTATCAGCATATATAATATTTCATTTGGACACATGGCAGTCAGACTTAGTGAAATGTGCCTTATTCTACAATCATAAAAAGTTTTACACCAAAAATTTTTTATTGTAACATTAAGGCACTTAAAACACTGTTTTTCTCTTTTTTTTCCCATGTTGGTTCCATGGCTCAAGAGTATTTGTTTGGCAGTTGGCACACCTTGCTAAAACCAACACTGTGAAGATGATTGGTTGGAAATTTTGCAGTTTGTGTCTGTGCCAAACCTCACTGAATGTATTTTGCATGTGGTATTTCCTGTAGATTCATAAAAGGACAATTTAATCATACACTCTCAGAAAAAAAGGTAAAAAGCTGTCATTTGGGCAATACCCTAAGGTACAAAAGTTAAAAAGAACATCTTTGTACATTATTTACCCCTAAATGATACATATTAATACATAAAAGTACATCTTAGTAAGTACCACTCCACTGACAGGGTGTATATATGACTAGATAAGGAATGTTTTTTTTATATAATTTTAAATAATGTTTTTTTTTTTTACATGCATGTTTCAACGGAAAATTTGAATAAACTAATTAAATTATATAGGACTATCTTTTATTGTTACTAGTTTGACTAGACCCGTCACTTACATTAAAACATTTTTTGCTATTTCACGTCCAGTTGCGTTTAATGTCAAATACAAAATAAATAAATAAACAGCACAATCACACTTTTCAAGGGAAATGTTTCATAAAAGGTTGTTTATATCATGTATCAGCATATATAATATTTCATTTGGACACATGGCAGTCAGACTTAGTGAAATGTGCCTTATTCTACAATCATAAAAAGTTTTACACCAAAAAATTTTTATTGTAACATTAAGGCACTTAAAACACTGTTTTTCTCTTTTTTTTCCCATGTTGGTTCCATGGCACAAGAGTATTTGTTTGGCAGTTGGCACACCTTGCTAAAACCAACACTGTGAAGATGATTGGTTGAAAATTTTGCAGTTCGTGTCTGTGCCAAACCTCAACTGAATGTATTTTGCATGTGGTATTTCCTGTAGATTCATAAAAGGACAATTTAATCATACACTCTCAGAAAAAAAGGTAAAAAGCTGTCATTTGGGCAATACCCTAAGGTACAAAAGTTAAAAAGAACATCTTTGTACATTATTTACCCCTAAATGATACATATTAATACATAAAAGTACATCTTAGTAAGTACCACTCCACTGACAGAGTGTATATATGACTAGATAAGGAATGTTTTTTTATATAATTTTAAATAATGTTTTTTTTTTACATGCATGTTTGCATTTGACTATGTTTGATTTAAAAAGAAATCAGTTTAATATGGACTTCACACATTTTAAGACTGAAGATCAATTAGCTTCAATATATTCTGTGATATCAGTGCATTGTTATGCCAGGGGTAATTTGTAAGGAATGGTTGAACACAGCAGTGCTGTGACAGTGGGAGGGTTTAGTTAAGCAGAAGGTACAGAAGGTCGGGAGTGGGAACAGCTGCCAGAGACACGCATGAGTAAAAAGGCTTTGATGTACTAGAAAGAACTGCTTGGCAGAGGACTAGCTGATAATGCTGACAATGTAGCATTTGTCAGGAATCAGTATGGCTCTCTATACATCATAACAACGCAATTTGTGCCCAGGCTGGACAAAAATTGAGGAAAGCAAAGTAAAAAAAAAGCATACACATTTCTAATAATCGGGATTATCCTCCACTCACAAAGCACAATCTACTAAGACTTTCTAAAGAGTTTGGAGCTAACACAGAGTTGACAGAACATGTCTCTTAAGCTGGAAAGAAGTTTATGGCTATACCCGCTTCCTGGAGAACCATGGACTTCAAATTCAGCTTTACTCAACAGATTTTATCGCAACAGATTCGATTAAATTCATATAAATACATAATTTAAATGGCTTGAGATGTAACAGTGTGCAAAACCTCCAATTGGTGAATTCATTTGAAATGCATTGTAAAAAAAGTATGAAATATGATGAGAAGAAAATAAATGAGAAGACATTGCAATTATTTCTTTGATTTTTACAACACTGAAATTCTGTTTCATGTAAAAAGTTACCTGGTTGCATGTGGAAATGTCCTGCCCGCTCTTGAGGAACTCCAGCACCTTTTCAACATTACCTGCCCTGGCTGCCCTCAGAAAGCTGGTGTTACTGTCCGACTGTTTATACAACACAAAGGAAAAACATTAGGAAACATCGGCACTAGTAAAAAACTGAAAGCAATATTCAAGTGATCAAATTCAATACGACTCATTTTACTTCCATAATGTGACATATTTCCAAGATATTAAACAAGAACAAATGGGTGTGATCTGTGACATTTCTGATAATATATCAGAAATATATTTGGGGTCAGTAAGACCGAATGGAATTGAAATGTAGTAATTATTTCTGAAAATTCATCTTTGCCATCACAGGAATAAATTAAATTTTTTAAATATAGGCTATTAAAACAGCAAGTTATTTTCATTTGTAATAATATTTCATAATATTACTGTTTTTATGCATCCTGGGTGAGCATAAGAGACTTCTTTCATAAACATTAAAAAAAATCTTACTGCCCCCAAATGTTTGAACAGTACTGTAAATATTTCTCATTTTCTCAAAGATTATGGTATGTGCTTAAGTCTCAGCGAGTATGTGAAGGTTGTGATTTCAGTGGGTGTATCTCCTTTTATCAGAATTGTGTTTGAATGTGACTCTGCTAAATATAGACAGCAAAACAGAATGAAGGCAGCTGACAAGACACACACACACACACAGAGAGAGAGAGAGAGATCTGCATGTGTCCATGGTTATGCACTGAAAGTCTTGCCATGTGAGGAAGAAAATTAATGCCAAGATTAAATTTCAGATTTGGCATCAACAAGCAAACATGTGTTGATTATACTACTTCAGAGCAATCGCTTTTAAAGCCTTTGGCATAAGAGTCACAACTGTGACAATAAAAACTGCATGTGCAATACCAACACAAAATCTGATTAATGAACACTACAGAGCAGGTAGAGAGTACAGGTACCTTTCAATTACCCTTCAAAAGCTACACAAAATTTATTAAAACATACAGACAGTATTGTTACGAAAATATGAAAACCTCTAAAGTCAAGCATTTTCAATAACGGAAGCGAGGTATTTATTTTAATCTTGTTACATTAGAACTGACAAGAGCATTGGTGCTAAGTTCTGGCAGCGGTATTTAAGATGCTAATGAACAGATCAGTAGCTCTCGGGTCATGTGGAGTGTGAAGCATTAATGTGTCAGGTCATCACAGACTATTGACCAAAATGTTTGAGACATGACCTCTGCTCCTTCTGAGATTTAGAGAGGTCACATCTTAACACATGCAGGATCTGAATAAGACCTATCCAATGGAAACAGACACTGTACATTTGTACAAGTTACACTCACACATGCTCCACTATTTGAGCTCATGTAAGCAACAAAAGTTCAAATCTGGTTCATGACATTTCCTGACCAAATTGTTCGCTTAAATTCTCATTAATTACACTTTTCATAGAAATAAAAGTGATACCACTGCTAATGAATACTTTTATATTAGTGGTGATCATTGTTACCTTTTTCTGAGGTAAGACATACTATACTATATTTGATAAAAATCAAATTAATTAAAATTAATTAAACCACCAAGTCTTGAAATACTGACTATAAAAACCCCTACCATATCAAACAGCTTTAATTTCCAGCAGGCTTTGTAGGTTAGTGCTGTTTTGATGCTGGTCAAACCAGCCAGGCCAGCATATAGCCATGCTGATGGCCAGGAAACCTTAGTTAGTGAAGCTAGTCAGTTAACATGGTCTTTCTGGTGATGCTAGTTGACCAAAGAAGTCTTGCTGGTTAAACTAGTTAAGAAGCCTATTGGAAGCTTTCCATCTTAAAGGGATAGTTCACCCAAAAATGAACATTCTGTCATAATTTACCCATCCTCATGTTGTTCTAAACCTGTATAACCTTTTGTAGAACACAAAAGAAAATCTTTTGAAGAGTGTTGTTGATAACCATGGGCCCATTGGTTTTCATTTTATGACCAAAAAAAAAAAAAAAAAAACCTGAAACACACTCACTATAATAAAGGTTCTTTATTAGTAACAATTGTTCCATGAAGAACTTTTAACATTCCATTACAGTAAAGGTTCTTTATAAAAAAAAATGTTCTTCAGATTATTAACATTATTAAAAAATAAATGGTTCTTATAAAAACTGTTCGTTTAATTAAGAATGATTCTTCTTTTGGCATCACTCTAAGAAAATCCTTTTGGAACCTTTATTTCCAAGAGTGCATTTCTCATGTTCCCCAGAAGAAAAAAAGTCATACAGGTTAGAGACGATGTGAGGGTAAGTAAATGATAAAAAAACAAAAAAAACAATAATAATAATTTTTGGGTGAGCTGTCCCTTTAAGTCAAGATCTGAGAAGTTGAAAATCCTTAATGAGATGTTAACTGCAATCACCATACAAAAAAAAAAAAGAGAGAGAACATTGAAAGTTGAATACATGTTCTGTATTACGATCCCAGCATAACAAACACAACTGGACTTTTCAGCAGGAAAATCACCTCAACAATTCTCTACTGAACCTGGATATTATTAAGATTGTCTTACCATGGTATCTGCCACAGAACTGTTGTAATGGTCCAGAGATGGATCACTTCCAATGGTCTGCAGGCCTTTACCTGAACCACATGCCTTACACATTGCCGCATTGCCCATGGTAAAGCTTAGCAAAAAAGCTGCACTACACTTTACATCAACCGAGTTTCCGCACTCACTGTGCCTCTTCCAGTGATAACCAACCACTGAACATCAAATCGCTCCCCGGGAGATTGATTCTTGCTCACATGCACTTAGCTTTATGGGTTTGCATTATCCTCAGTCTTCAGGTAGTACCCAGGAGCCCATTCAATTATCAGCTTCAGAGCATCTATCCAGCTAATGCGAAATCCCCCAAACTTTCATGTCTATCTTTCTCCTCAGGTCCCGAACACCATCTCTTATGTGCTCTCTCTGATCCCTGCCCCGTGTCTTCTGTGAGAATCTGCGTCCCGTATTGGCAGACGCCTTGGCTCTTGTCTCCTCTTCTTTTCCGGTCTTGTCTTTCTTCCCGCCTGGCTTCGTAACTGACAACTGCGGCCGTAAATGTGTCTCCCATTGCTATATCAGGCTGAATATCCACCCCGTCCAGGATCCAGGGCTGGGTTATTTTTAACCCCTCCAGGCCCAAGCAGCAATGTGACGGAGCAAGGGACAGCAAGGGGCAATCCTACTGGGGAAGAGCCAGCTGGGAAACCTGTCCTTTTCCTCCTGAGGGCCAGGAATGTGCATCCACCGGGACAACTGAGGAAGAGGGCGTTATTTACAAAAACCCTTGGTTGGTTGTCATACCATCCATACCAAATACCATACATTTGGAGGACTATGTAAATCGTGGAACATCATCTAAAAGAGGTTCTCATCCTCAAGTAAAAGCTCTTCCAAAATGGTTTAACACCACATAAATCCAATTAAAGATTAAACAGCTATAGCAATGGCTACAGAATCAGACCAAATGGCATCAAGGCATCAGCGTCTGTGGGTCATCTCTGGTCTCAAGGCAGTCCGCATTGACCAGACTATTCAGCATTTGGTTGACTTCCACTACGGACATAATGACCTGCCATTGACTGCCCTGATCAATGCCATGCCCCCAGTTAACCAACCTACTATGGGTTTTACTACAGTTAATGGGGCAATAATGACAAACGTGTTTAAACAGTAAGGAACTCATCATAATTAGCCTTTAAAAACAAAGCATAGTGAACTCTATGTACAAGTACAGCTGAGAATGTAAAGTAGCTTGAGGCATCTCTATTTATATTTACAAATTTATTTCACTGTTGTAGACTAATATACAAAAATGTGGGTAACACTTATAAGGTTCATTAGTTAACATTAGTTAACTGCATTAGCTAACATGAACTAAGATTGAACAATACTTCTACAACATTTATTAATCTTAGTTAATGTCAATTTCAGCATTTACTAATGCATTATTAAAATCACAAGTTGTGCTTGTTAACATTAGTTAATGCACTGTGAATTAACATGAACTAACAATGAACGACTGTATTTTTATTAACTAACATTAACAAAGATGAATAAATTCTGTAATAAATGTGTTGATCATTGTTCGTTCATGTTAGTTAATACATTAACTAATGTTAACAAATGACACCTTATTGTAAAGTGTTACCAAAATGTGTAATTCTCAGGAAAGATTAAAACAAATTATTTCCTCATGCTTACCCAGGCTGCATTTATCTAATGAAAAATACACAAATAATGTGAATATACTATTATAGTTTAAATGAACCATTTCTACTTTATTATATTTTAAAATGTAATCTATTTATTGCAAAGCTGCATTTTCAGCAGACATTACTCCAGTCACATGACCCTTCAGAAATTATTCTAATATGCTGATTAACACAGTGAACTGTTTTTGTTAGAAACAGAAATCTTTATAAATGCAAAATTAAAAACATTTTTAAATGCATCCTTGCTATATAAAATAATTTTGTCCCAAAAATTTTATATATTTGTAAAATATAACTAGGCTTTCCCATTTAAAATAATAGTAATATTTTTCAGGAACTAACGTTATAAAAACACTATAAAATTGTATATTGTACTATTTACATGTAAATTATGTTATACGTGAAAATTTCCACATGCAAATTCTAATTCTATGTAAATATTCTCCGCTTCTTATGTATCTCACATACAGTATAATAACCTGCTAAGATTTCTAGTTTCATAGGCATTTAAAAACACTGTAATGATGACACTGCCAGTCAAGTAGTTATAGGTTGCAGAAGGCCATCCAGGTCAAATAGCATAACACATTAAGTCTGTTTTATGACACATTTGTGCTGACAAGACAAACACTTTTACTCCCATCAACACTGTTGCTTTTTCAACCCTTTCCAACCTCTCTTTAGAGGTGATGGATATTTCATGAATGATTCATTCATTGCGTCCGTCACTTGACGAATGAACAAGACTCTGGAGGTGAAGTAGTCATTTGTGTTTCTCATAATTTACCATGGCTGCATTATAATTATTTCCTGATTTGAATATGATCAAACATTTTATGTGAATGTGTACAGGGAATTTTGCGATTGAAAATATAACATTTTAAAGGGATAATTCACCCAAAAATTAAAATTCTGTCATTAATTACTCACCCTCATGTCGTTCCAAACCCATAAGACCTTTGTTCATCTTTGGAACAAAAATTAAGTTATTTTTGATGAATTCTGAGAGCTCTGTGACCCTCCCACAGCAAGGATACTACCATGATCAAGGTCCAAAAATGTAGCAAGGACATCGTTAAAATAATCCATGTGACATCAGTGGTTCAACCGTAATTTTACGAAGCTACGAGAATACTTTTGTGCGCAAAGAAAACAAAAATAAGTACTTTATGCAACAATTCATCTCCTCCGCGTCACCCTGGCGACATTTTGGAGAGTATCCACTGAACGTAAACAACGTATGCAGCAGCACACGGAAACGTTGTTTTCATTCAGATCAAAGACTAACCAACGTAAACAACGTATCCGCGTGGCGCAGCTGACACAGAACAGCATACGTTTTTTACGTTCAGTGGATACTGTCCAAAATGGCGCTATAGGTGTTAATTTGTGTTCCGAATATGAACGAAGGTCTTACGGGTTTGGGATGACATGAGGGTGAGTAATTAATGACAGAATTTTTATTTTTGGGTGAACTATCCCTTTAACTCTGTTAAAATGCATAAAAAGAATGACTGAAGATTTGTTCATTTTGCTGAACAAGATTGAACAAGGTGGTAAATATCACTACTTCTTGGTTGTTTCTCACTATAAATTAATATATTTTAACTGAATAAAATAAAATGAATAAATCAGCCATTAAAAAAAATCTAATCTTTGATACAGTAAAACATTTTCAAAACTTGGAAGTGCTTAGCAGATTGCAAGAACAAAACTAAAGCATACATGAGTTATATCAAAAGGTTATGTCATCTCATATGTAGCCAATGAGATTTTGCACTCTAGAGACAAATCTGCATACAGGATGATCCTATTTCCTAAGCCTCTTCCAGTATCTGTGCTCTGAAACAGGTGCGGAACAGCTGACTACAGGATTTATCCCCGGAGCTCATCTGCAGCGCAAAAATACTAAAATGCAACCATACAAATTTGCATTAATTATTATATACTGCAGGTAACAGTGGTGATAACTTTCTGTACACAATTGAGAATTAAAAATTATTATTAATAATAAAGAAACCATAAAGGCAAGTTATATAAAACAAAAGTAAAATCAAATATTTTTTTAAAATAATTCGATTTTGCATTAACTTCTGCTAACACTGAAAGAACAAAAACGAACAATTCACATAGAATAAATACAGATTAAAATATGAAGAACAGCAACTGGATTACTAGATGCTACATTTGGATATTATGAAATAAACTATTTTAAATAGTATTAGGGCTGTGTGTGATTACACTTTCTAGACTTTGCAATGATAAATGTAAAGATTTTGACATTAAATGATCGCAGAATTCTTTAAACCGACACATGTGATAGGTCAGCTGTATCCGAGCTGGCACATATGAATTTGAGTTTTTTTGAATTGAGGTTTTTAAGTGTTAGTATACCTTGTGTTTGCGCTCTGCTCTCTCTCTGTGTTTCTTGCGTCTCTCTCTGGCTTTTACGAGAGCCTTTATCTCAGGAGGTTGTTCCAGCTCCCGTGCCTTTTTCAGGTGTGCTGCTGCATGTGCCATGATGACAAACCACAGCCGCCACAGAAACCGTGCACAGGTTCTCCTATATCACTTCAGATGTGAAATAGTCCCATATGGTTTAAAGCAAATGTTGGGGTCCTTGTTCTGCTTTTCCCAATGGCTCCTTTGAATAAGGTGATAATGGACACACTGTGCCAGTGTCCTCCCACAATTCACTCTGAATAACTCTTTAGACTAAACTACTCTGATCCGCTGTGAATTCCCTCTTCAGTGCAGTTTGTTGTCTCTTTTTTCCCCTACAGAGAGTTACTCCAGTCTATTGGTTGGCTGAAGAGAGAAAAGCCTCACTTGCTGAATCTGAATATATATCGCCATGTGTGAACTAGGGACAAGAGAGAGAGAGAGAGAGAGAGAGAGAGAAAGGACCTGTCTGTCCAGATGTAGAGGCATCCAGCTATATTCCAGCTGTAGGATTGAGTGTGTGTGTGTGTACTTCACAAATGTGCGTGTATAAGAATAGAGACACAATTAAAAAGGGGCAACTGTAAGCCACATATACAAATCTACCTGGAGGGGAATGGTACGCTCCAACACACAGCTACTGTAGTCAAAGACCCAACTGCTTCAAAAAGGCACTTAAACCTGAAGGATGCTCCAGTGGGATTGTACTATAAATCCCCCTGAATTTGATGGTATCTGCTAAACTACTGCTGATGCTATGGAGAAAGGAAACTATTTCTTAGTAGGATCTCACTTAATCTCTGACTCTCAGAGTCTAGAATAGATAGTCTCAATAACTACAGTATTGATGTAATTAAAAAAATACTTTTAAAAGTGACAGTAACGATTACAAAAGATTTATTTTCCAAATAAATGCTTTCTTTCACAAGGTCAACATTTACTCGTATTACTATACTTGTGAGGACATTTGGTCCCGATAATGGAGTGAATACCAGTAAACACATACTGCAACAGTAAGTGTTTTCTCGGTCAAAATACTTCTACACCACCTCTTGGATTGCAAAAGTAACTACACCTCAGTAATTTAGACCTCAGCACACTGACACCTGCTGGTTAAATCGCACGCTATAAGAGATCCATACATCTACCACTGTGTGTGAGTCCTTCAGGTAAGACCTAAGACAAGCACTGAACACTAAGATCTCTGTAGTTTGATGTACTGTAGTTTGTTTATATATTAACCATAGTTATGGTGTTGTAAGAGCATAGTAGGAACAGGTGAAACCATTGATGCCACTTCACTATCATGGTTAGAACAATGGAATTATGATTTCTATAGGACAGACTATAAAATATGTGGTCACACTTTATTTTAAGGCTTAATTCTCGCTATTAACAAACTATTAATTATAACTTTTGTTTCAATAAATTCCTAATTTGCTGTTTATTAATAGTTAGAAAGGTAGTAGTTACATTTAGGTATTGGGTAGGATTAGCGACGTAGAATATGGTCATGCAGAATATGTGCTTTAAGTACTAATAAACAGCCAATATGTTAATAATAGGCATGCTAATAAGCAACTATTAATAGTGAGAATTGGCCCCTATACTAAAGTGTTACCATATAAGTTACAATGAACAATATTTTTGTTCAACTGTCTTAGTTATTAAAAAAAAAAATCAGATTTTACACTTTTCATAAATAGGGTTGTCATACTTTTAAAACTCATTCTTTTATTATTTTCAGAAAAGAATATCACACAAATCATGCACTGTTTTTTATCAATATAAAATATTTTTATACATATTTTTGTCCCCCCTTAATTGAATTCATAGTAGACAACAAATTAATCTACACTACTCTCATTTGATTTATAAATATGAGTATTTTAACAGGTTTTAAACAAAACAACTCTGAAATGCAAGCCCTATTTCCAACTCTATTCTTGTAAAGTGCCATTCCACCACTTATAAATTATTTAATATGAATCAAAAACATTTTTTTTACTACAGATGGTGCTAGATTACAGTAAGACATTGTCATCCTTAACAAGCACTGCATCTCATGTTATTGATGTTGTAAAAGCAACAGACTGAACAGCAGCAGAATCTGTTCAGATGCAAAAAAAAAAATCTATAAAACATTGATCCTTTATGACAACTGATAGTCTCCAGAGTACAGCAAGAGCTGTGTAACTAAAACAGAGACAGACTTACACAGAAAGCAGGGCAAAGATGGGCCATCAATCAAGTTCCTTTAACCTGAAGGTTAGACCCAGTCAACCAGAGTACAATAAGCTGTTTCAGTGTTACTCAACATACAGAATCTATAAAACAAACATTTTTGCCACAATGCTAGAGAACTGTGATTGGTCGCCAGTATGTTGCTATATGCAGTTGTATTTGCGAGTATGACCTTGATGATGTAGCAGATAAAGATCAGGCTGTAAGACTGCTGTAAATATGTTAAGAACACCACACCGCAAGAGAGATGTTTGACATATGGTTCATTTGAGCTTGAAAAGGTCTTGTCATGCTGATAAATGGACAAGCAGAGGACAGGATCAATACAGTGATAAACATGAGCAGTGTATGCAGAGAGGCGCCAGGTCTCAGATATCTGTGTGGAGAGAGCAATGCTCCCAGGGGAATACAAGTTATCATCATCTCTGCACTTATTGAACATCATTACTCAGGATGCTTATGTTTCGCCAATCACAGCTGCTGTGACTGGCAAATTGTGCTGTGTCAGAGGCCTGCACTAAAAACAACGAGAGCTTTTTTATGTGTACGCAAGTAATTTTGCAAATTATTTTTATCCAGAGAGACTTAAAAATAAAGGTTCTAAAAGGGAGGTTTTTGCAATGCCATAGAAGTACCATTTTTGGTTTACCAAAGAATCCATTTTTTTCTTAGTGTAAAAAACTTTTTTTTTTTAATAATGTGTAGAACCTTTTTCCAATACAAAGAACCTTTTGTGCAATGGAAAGTTTCCATGGATTTTAAAGGATCTTCATGGAATCATCACTGCCAACTAAGAAACTTTGTTTTTAAGAGTGTACAATATTCACGACAGGGATGATATATCAAAACTGTAACATCGGCAACATGGAAACATCGCCACTAAAAGTGAATGATGACAATTGAAATTCCAAAAATTAGAGTTTATGTGTGTATAGTGTGTTGATGAACAACGAGAGCTTTTTTATGTGTACGCAAGTAATTTTGCAAATGATTTTTATCCAGAGAGACTTAAAAATAAAAGTTCTAAAGGGAGGTTTTTGCAATGCCATAGAAGTACCATTTTTGGTTCCCCAAAGAAGCCATTTTTTTCTTAGTGTAAAAAATATTTTTTTTATATAATGTGTAGAACCTTTTTCCAATACAAAGAACCTTTTGTGCAATGGAAAGTTTCCATGGATTTTAAAGGATCTTCATGGAATCATCACTGCCAACTAAGAAACTTTGTTTTTAAGAGTGTACAATATTCACGACAGGGATGATATATCAAAACTGTAACATCGGCAACATGGAAACATCTCCACTAAAAGTGAATGATGACAATTGAAATTGCAAAAATTAGAGTTTATGTGTGTATAGTGTGTTGATGTGTTAGTCAGTGTGTACGGTCATAGCGGAGTCTGCACTTTTTGACTTACATCATCTAAAATCTATTCAGTCTTGAAGCTCTTACAGTGTTTGTTATTAAGCCATTAGTCAACACATCGATCTTTCATAAAAGCTCACTCACAGTCAACCCTCAATCCTGTTTCTCTGCACAGATCCATCACTTTAATGCACTCGATGTAGAGGCATGAAATGCAGCAATATTGAAATATTTGGCCGATACAATAGCCAGTAGTTATTATGACCAATAACCAACATAATGTCTGATATTTTAAAGAAAAAAAGGTATTTACACTCCAATACAGAACATGCTGCAGATTAAATCAATGCATTAAAACATAAAAATTAGGATTGTTAATAAAAAAGTAATCTGCAAGGATGGGTTAAAATTAATCAAAAGTGACAGTAAAAGACATTTTTCTGTAAATGCTGTTCTTTTGAACTTTATATTCCTCAAAGAATCCTGAAAAAAATTTAGCATGGTCTCCACAAAAATAGCAGCACAACTGTTTTTAACTGTTACAACAATAAGAAATGTTTTTTGAGCACCAAATCAGCATATAAGAATGATTTCTGAAGGATCATGTGACACTGAAGACTGGAGTAATGATGCTGAAAATTCAGCTTTGCCATCAAAGGAATACATAACATTTTAAAACATATTAAAATAGAAAACAGTTATTTTAACCTGTTTAACAATATTAGTATTTTTACTATATTTTGATCAAGTAAATGCAGCCTTGGTGAGCATAAGAGACTACTTGATCAAATAAATCTAAATAAATGAACTTTGGCATTATAAATGGTGATTCTTTCAAAAACATATTACAGATTCCAAACTTTTGAACTGTAGTATAGCAGAAAAGATGACTGTTTAGTATATTTGAAAACTAGCACAAAGAAACAGTATACTATTTATAAACTTAATATTATCTGCTTTCAACAAAACGTTTTTGTAAAATGATTACTAAACATTAATACTGGCTAATGCCAATACAGTCACAAATATGTCTTTCATTCCTATTTAAAAGCATTGGTGTAAACACATACTAGTTTTAAAGACTCAATAATGACTGACACACACACACACACACACACACACACAGCCATTTACAAACACCTGGCACAGTCTCGACCCTTAGTGAGCTACCTGCCTAGACAGCATTTTTGGCATCATATAGGCACAATCCCAATGTCTGAAACGGTAGCCAACAAATTATGCTGTCTCCAAAAAAAGTCTCATTTTGGCCAGAGACAGCAACTCTTACACATACACAACTCTTACAAGATTCCTATTAGTAGTCTAGCTGTTGACAGGACATTATTTCTAGTAATACTATCACAATAAGTATAAATGTGCTAAATGTAATATTTCTCAGTATTTCTCTCAGAACGATTCTCTTATCTCTATTCCTGTATATCTTGTCAGTTGAGTTGATAATACATTTCTTAGATGCTACATCAACATCCTACTAGATTTGTTGTAAGTCCTCTCTGCATTTGCATCTAGTATAGCTCCCACTGTTCACCTTATTAACTACAGCCCCTAGTAAACATGAAGGCAACCCCGTTCTTTCTTTCCTTCTCTCACTCGCAAGTGTAAATGCCATGCAGCTGTCAGTGAAACAGCTTCACTTCTTCCAGACACAGGGCTGAAAATTCTCACTATTAGAGAATTTGCTTCACATTTCATTATATCATCAAGACACTGGGCGGAAACCTCTCTCTGCTTTCAAATGTCACTGTAGAAATAAATAGAT